CAGTAGTAGAGCACGCAGAAAATTGTGGAGCAAAAGCCTTGGCTTCATGACGACCTAAGAGCCTATGGCCTTAAAGCGATACATGTTTTTTCAGGTCACATGACCTGGCCAATCACGTTCCGTCTTCTTCCAAGTTATATAGTGGGTATTTCAGGAGGGGAGCTCTGCTTGTAGATTTGATAGTGTCAAGGGATGTTTATTGGCCTGATCATTTAAAATATTTCTTAGGTGTCAACTCTAGGTCACAAAAGCCTTTCATTTTGATAAGCTGATTTGTATGGTTTTTCCCCCCCTTTAGATTACTTACTGTATTTGCAATACTATCAATGTAGATGTATGAACAATATTAACTTCCATTTCCATTTGCTGTATACCTCATAAGCCGTTGTTTTTTACATGTTGTGGGGTTCTAACCATAATTACAGGAGGGTCAGAAGCCCATCTTGTAATTTTCGCCATGGGCACAGGAAAAAACTAGTCTTGCTTCATTTCCTTTCTCCTATGATATGTTGCCACTGTATTCCTTTTTTTTTCAGTTGGTCATTGTTATTTGGATCTAAATGTGAAAGTAATACTAAATCTCATAACCTTCTCTAAAGGGTAAAGGTTAAGTAGCAATTTGATAGGGTTTGGTTTAGGCTGAGGTAAAGAGAATCCTGTTAGTTGTCAGACAATTCACAAATGAAGTGGCTCATATACAATACATGGAAGTTATTATAAAGCCCTATTATTAGTTCTTGATGTTTCCTTGACATGTTTAAAAGTCACTGCTGTAATTAAAGAGAAAACAGCGCAAACATACAGATAAAAGTCAACTTTCAAAACTCAATCATGCCTCAAAGCACAACAAACCTACAATGTCAATCAGCCATGGCTTTCTTCAACTTGTCCTTCTCTCTTCTTTGGGTGTTGAAGCCATTTCAGGCGCTGTGCTTTCATTAGTAGTTAGTCATTTTCTTCTAGTCTTTCAGCTGGCTGGACACTTTATGCTCCAGGTGGAATTGGGGCCTTATCAGCACCAGGGCAGGGGCTCAGAGGCTGCATCGTGCAGAATGCAGGTTTCCTCCATCCGCATGGTTGCCCCACATGATTAAACCAAGCCTGACCGTCTATATTTTTTTCTGTAAGTGTGTGTTTGTTGGGAAGAGCTTGACCCTGAAGGTGTGAGAAATTGCTCAAAGAAGTTTTATTGAAGTCTAGAGGATGGCCATTGAGTCCCACTATTGTATGTTAAGTATTTTTTCTGCCTTTGTAAAATGTGTACAAACGCTTTTCTAGGTCCAAGCCTGGTTTTTAAAACTGGAATAGGTACTTTTTAAAATACTACAGTATGCATTTTTGTGCTTAAAAATGTGATATGTTTTTAATATTTTAACTAATAGTCGTTTATGAATCACATTATGGTGCAGATTTGTCCTGAATGACACTCGGAAAAAAAGGCCCAGCAATGCATATTTGGGAATGAACACAATCTCTTTAATTTAAGAGACTCCTTCAGTGTTTTGTGGCCCAAATGACTGAAAATGGCTCTGAGTTTTTTTTAACAAGCTTTCGATGAATAGGGACGGTGGCAAAGAAAGGGAAAAGGAGAAATCAATGTTTGTCTCTCTTCAGATAAATGCACAGAGCAAGGAAGTGTAAAGCAGTAAGAGGGTAATCTGTGAAACAACAATGCTGTGGGCTGACAGGAGACACAGTAATCTAGGCCGGACCAACGCTATCCTTAAACATGCTGTTCTGTGTCTGAAAGATTACGCTGTAAGCTCTGACACAATAGCGGCTCTGACACGCACACACGTGGAGACATGCTGACAGAATTGCTTTCGCCTGCCCGGAGCCTCTGCAGTAGTAACCCTGATTACAATGTGGTCTTTAGTGGGAGACTGGCAGTGTGCATCGATAGGAATGTGATTTAGCCACAATTCCAACAATGAACAGTGAGGTGAGGTGAAGCGACTGACACTGGAAAAATAAATGAGATGCACTGTGCTCTTCAATATTGCTGTGAAAAGTCTTTATTTAATTGTGTGTTTCTATAAATATTATTCATAGCAATAATTATATATACAATTTTAATGGAGTAGGTTTTAATGGAGAAATGGTGAAATGTCCTTTTTCCAGTCTGTCCCACCATCTGTTTGGTTTGGCATTCAGTCTCTATGAGAAGGTCAGAATTGATATACAGATACAACACAAGCCTCTTAAGTAGCCAGGTTTTGGGCCAGAAGGTAATGAATACAAATACAAATTCACACCCTGCACAATTCCATTGAAGAAACATCTAGAAAATAAGGCTGAATTTACCTGGTTTCAAAATTATCCACACTCTTAAGCTAATATCTTGTAAAAATCGGTTCTGATGAAAGATTTGACATTTAGTCTTCCTTGGTACACAGCTCTGTGTGTCTGTGATTGAAGAGGTTATCAATGATTATCAGTATAGGATAATACAACCTGCTATAGGTACTGACATTCAATGCTCACTGTCAATGTCTTTTTTTCCATATAAAAGGATATTTGTCATTTTCATACTTATTTAATTTGAGAAAATTTGTAAGATTTTGCTTCTACACCATTCCGCACTGTTCTGAAAAGGCCTTATTGGCCTGAACATTTGTGGAAATTTATTTCCATCAACTCAACTGATTGATTGATTGATTGATTGATTGATTTATTGATTGATTGATTGATTAAATGATTAACTTGATTGATCTCAAAGTGGAGAAATTTACTCTTTACATTGACTCAAATATTTACAAAGAGAAGAAGGTAGTAGAAGAAAAGGTGCATGACACTTTTTTTATATAGCAGGATTATTATACAGGGTGATTGCACAGGGTGTTTACATGGGCATTTATATAGATGGATATTCATATATAAAGCTATTGCACTGGGTGTCAAATATAAAGAAATTAATTGCACAGGATAATAAATGGTAATTGCACATTATCCATTGCACAAGTTATTGCCGTTGTAGTGTCGCATTGTAGAGCCTGGTGGCAGCGGGGATAAATGACCTTTGGTTGCGCTCCTTTTTACAAACAGGTTGTAAAACTCTTTCAATAAAGGAGCTGCTCAGCTCCTCTACAGTCTGGTGCAGGGGGTGAGATGTGTTGTCCATGATGGATGTAAGCTTGGAAAGCACCCTCCTCTCAGCCACTTCCTCCACTGAGTCCAGGGCGCAGCCAAGAACAGAAATGGCCTTTCTCACCAATTTGTTCAGTCTGTTTCTGTTCCAGTCTGCGCTGCCAGGTGCCTAGAAGACAACAGCATAGAAGAGGGCTGATGCCACCACAGAGTTATAGAAGCTTTTAAGCAGGGGCCTGCTCATTTAAAAGGAACTCAGCCTCCTCAGGAGGTAGGGGCGACTCTGGCCCTTCTTAATCAGGGCGTCAGTGTTATGAGTCCAGTTCTGTTTATTATTGATGTGATTTGAAACACTCTACAGTTTTTATGTCCTGCCCCTGGATGTTCACTGGCGGGATGAGGTGGGGGTCTTGTCCTGAAGTCGAACACCATCTCCTTGGTCTTACTGGTGTTAAGACACAGGTGGTTCTCCTCACAGTAGTCCACAAAGTTCATGATGACTGGTCGATACTCAAGCTTGTTCCTCTTTGTAACAGCCTTCAATGGACGAGTCATACAAGAACTTCTGGAGTTGGCAGCTGTCTGTGTTGTAGGTGAAGTCTAAGGTGTAAAGGGTAAAGAGGAACAGAGATAGAACGATGCCCTGGGGGGCCCTGGTACTGCAGACTGCCACCCCTGACTTACAGCCATGCCGCAGCACATACTGAGGTCGTTTGGTGAGGTAGTTCATGTTCCAGCGTCCTCCAGCTTCCCCCTCAGCAGCTCTGGTCTGATGGTGTTGAAAGCGTTGGAAGAGTCAAAGAACATGGCTCTCACTGCGCTCTCGGTGTTCTGGGTGAGCGCTCGCTGCAGCAGGTAGATGATGGTATCCAACACTCTGATGTCAGGTCGGTAAGCAACCTGCAGCAGGTCCAGGGTGGGGCTCACCATGGGGGCGCCCCATGGTCTTCATCAGGTCAGGGTGAATGGTCTAAAGTAGGCTGGTTCCTTGGCATGAAGCCTTTTGGGAACTGGTACCACACCAAAGGTCTTCCAGAGGGGGGGGGACCAACCCCAAGCTGAGGCTCAGGTTGTAGATGAATCTGAGGACCTCGCAGAGCTCATCAGCACAGTTCCTCAGCTGCCTTGAGGGGATGCTGTCCGGTCCAGAGGCTTTCCTCTGTTTCAGTCTCATAAACATGATAAAACAGTAGTGTTTGTGTCCCTTTATTATCCCGTTTTTGGCCCGTCTTACTGATTAGGTTTATCAGAATGTATAGATGCATATAGCTGTGGTAACATTAGCTTAACATTATAAATATTATTTATCATACCCAGTTGCAGCAAAATGCATGCCTAATTATAAGAAGAAAAGAGAACTGGCCCAAGTCCTTAACACCATGATACTCACAATATAAGCTGAGGAATTTGTAGGTTGAATGGATCTTTGACTGTGTAAGTATAATCATGTTCTCCCCTAATGATGAGAAATAGGTTGTTCTAGTTTAATGAGTCTTTTTATGAATACTTTTCCATGAAAGTAGGACTTCTTTTAGTGTGTAGAGCACAAGTTTTAATTTGTTTTCCTCGTGCTATGGTTCAAAGCATGTTGCTTGTTAAACCAGGTAACAAGCCTCCTGTGGATAGTTGCCTTCTTTTCCAAGGTGGCAATATTGTCCACACTGACAATATGCAAATAGGCAGTTACCATATAACTTGTTAAATAAAAAAATTATGCATTTATTCAGATTTTTTTTTCTTAAAGTACATTACAATATTCTAACATTTTGCAGTTATATAAATCAGCTTCAGGTCCAGTGTCTTTTTCAAGGCCATCTTCCAAATCCAGCTGAATTTGTTTTGTTCCATGTTTTTTAACCATGACATTTCATTTTGTCTTACTTATCTGGATTGTTTTCTTTGTCTTGTATCAGTTTGAGGCTCATGTACATGAAGGCTCGAGGGGTGTCATAGTCAACCTGACGGTGGATGACAGAGATGACCCGGCCACGGGGGCATGGAGAGCTATGTACTCCATAATCAGTGGAGATCCCAAACAGAGTTTTGAGATCCAAACAAATCCTGACAACAATGAAGGGATGCTCTCAGTGGTCAAGGTAAGATAATGTACATAAAATTACCCAGTGCATTTCTAAATTCAAATGAATTACCATTAATCATCGGTACTATCCAGCCTCTAGACTATGAGACGGTTGAGCTCCACACACTTCTCATCAGAGTGGAGAACGAGGATCCTTTGGTTCCTGATGTCGGCTATGGTCCCAGCTCCACAGCAACTGTCCGTGTCACTGTCGAGGGCATCAATGAGGGACCTGTCTTTTTCCCAGACCCGTTGATAGTCACAAGGATGGAAAACATCCCTGTTGGCAGCTTCGTGGCTTCACTCAATGCAACTGATCCAGACATTCGGGAGATCCAGAGCATCAGGTAAATCTAATGGATGGATGGATTTATGCATTATAGATCGCTATAAAATATATGGATATAAAATAGAATGAGTGAAGGCATTGTATTGGATTGCTGCCATTGTGAAAGGGATCAGGGGCCTCCAGAGCCAAAGGTCACTTTTTGGAACTTTAATAATGGGTTTTATAACTTATGCTAAAAATTATTAAGATTTAACAAAACATTTTTAAATATAACTTAGATATAACAAATGTCAGTTTTGCTGTTTTTTTTAATAGAATAATTGCAAATATATGTAATATTTTTAGGGGAAACTCTTGTCATTAGGTTAAAAATTTTTTTTTTTACATTATTGTCTAAAACTATCAACATTTCATGAGAGAACATATATTACTCCCTATTTTTTCATGTTTAGTTTTCTTTATTTTTCCTTAAAATATGCAATAGGGTAAAATAGTGGTTCTCTAAAATGAATGGAGTCTCTGTGATATACACTTTATAATTCATCATGAGTTTTCATTTATTTTAAAGTTATTTAACACTTGTCACTAAGCAAGCTTTATTTAGCTGGAATCACAGCAAACTTTGCTCTTCTGTTTGTAAAGGTTACAGACCCTTAGCAGGATATTAATGGGTCACATCAAAAACATTCTAAAAAAAACCCTGACCACTACCCTTCCATCTATTTATCCTCAACACGACTCTCATATTTCCTATTGTTACATCCCCTGGTCAAACAGGTGAAACTGATCAAACCTCTTCAGCTCAAAGCTCCCAGAGCTTTGCAGTTCATTAACTTTAACACAGTTACAGAGGAAGGTCTCCTTTCAATCATTTCATTCATCACAACAGGAAGGCCATTAGATGCACTGTGAGCTTCGCTAACATCTAATGTCTTTTCCCTGCCAGTTGTTGACTCATGGCAGGTGTACTTGAAAGCACTACACTTCAACTTTTATAAGATAAAAAAAGTGATTAAATTACTTTGTGTTCACTTTATAAAGCTTCTATTTGCTGTTTTAGAGTCATGCACCCTGAAAAATGCAGCCATAGGAATGCAGACAGTGATAATATAAACCATAGAGACTGCAATCAGTGACCAATATTTGCACCCCTACTGCTTTATATGTTAAGATGGAGAAATCACTTTACCAAATAATACTTAAGCTGGTGTTCGGCGGTATTCTTAGCAGTGCCCTTTAGATAGAGTATACAAGGGTTGAGATAAAGCTTTAAATTGTACTGGACAGTTGGACCAAATGCATAAACTACTGTTAAAAAACAAAGCATTGTGTATTCCTGACTGAATATAAAGAAACATTAGATTTATTAATATTTGCTAAATTCAGTCATTGGTAAACATTGTGTACAGCTGGACCTTCATGACCTTAATTCAATTCATTTTTTTCTGTAGCGCAACACGTAATCTCAAGGCACCTTATAGAGACAATTCAACCAGATCATACAGTCATATCGATTCAAATGTACGAAAACCAGTTGATTGCATCAACTCATTGACTCGAAGGTAACCACTTACACCAAGCATGCTTGTAGAGACAGTGGAGAGGAAAAACTCAATTTTAACAGAAGAAACTTCCAGCAAAACCAGGCTCAGTTTGAGCGGCCATCTGCCAAGGCAGACTGGCATAACATTAGAGATTGAACTAACACATTCTGCAGAGTGGGAGAATAGAGATAAAATGAAGCAGAAGGATGAAAAAGGGATCCCCATCTCCTCCAGCAGTCTAAGCCTATAGCAGCATAACTATAGACATAGCTCAGGATAACCTGAGCCACTCTAACTATAAGATTTATCAAAACGCTTAAAAAGGGTGTATGTCTTAATTACCCAGAAGGAGACTGGACTCTATTTTCCTGCATTCAGTTACAAGTTAGTGATAAATTACAGTTACCCTTTACAGACAACAACATAACAACAACAAAAACAACATAACTCCTGTAAATAAACACTTTTTTTTTTGTCTGTAAAGCTACACATGTGTAGATTTTAAACAAAAGTGCAAATACAAAATACTTTCTTAAATAACTACAACACCTGTTGCTCCAGGTGGTCAGTGTACTATTTGAACCAATCATCTAAGAATAAATCTGTTCTGAAACATCAAAGGAGTCACACTTTACTGTAAATCACACAGTTAGACTGTTAGCTGTGATCCTTACAAGGTAAGACTCCCTCTTTAGTACAACAGAGAGAAGACAGAACCCTTTGCATATAGAGCGAACTGAGAAGGAAAGTTTAAGACTTTTCATTACAATGAGGCAAGTGCAAAATGGAGGGGAGAGGATTTAGGAAGACACATTTAAATCTGAGCACAGAAACATGGTTTGGTGTGAAAGTAGAGCATACTGATGAGGTAGCAGGACTTTTTTAACTTTGAGAGTATTTGGAAGCTGGCACCCAGAATAAAAAGAATCCAGATCCCAAATGATTGATTAATTGATTGAATAATTGATTGATTGATTGATTGATTGATTGATTGATTGATTGATTGATTGATTGATTGATTGATTGATTGATTGATTGATCTCAGTGGAGAAATGTACTTGTTACATCAGCTCAAATAGTCAAAAAGAATATATATATATATATAGCAGGATTATTATACTGGGTTATTGCACAGGGTGTTTACATGGGTTTATATATAGATGGGTATTTATATAAATTAATAATGGTACTACTGTAGCATAAAACTGTTTAGGCAGTTATATTACAGAGATGTTATAAAAAGAGTAAAATACAGAAAGAGATTTTGAGGTTTTAAAATAACAAAGTGTGAAGTTTTATGAAATTGGACTGAACATTTTTAGCAAATGATAAAATATTTAAAATATTAATCAGCCTTAAAGGCTTCTTATTTCCCTGCTTTTTAATCAGGAATCATATTTGGAAATCTGTTGGCTTTATCGGCCTCTCTTGAGAACCACATAATAAACGACCTGAAAACAGTGATGGTTTTTTATTGTTCTCTTTGTCTCACTGGTCATCGCTGGTTCTCAGTCCTCCCACATTCACTGTGTTTTCATGCGTCTGGATTTCATAAATCATTAGAACCTAAAAACCTTTTTTTTTTTTTTAGTTTTAAACAATTCTTGTTTTGAAATCACATAGACTCTATTTACATGAGTAATTATATATTTGTTTATGCTGCTTCAGATTGATTGATAGAGCCATGTACAGTACTTCTATTTTGTTCAGCTTGTGCTTTATTCTATTAATGACGTGGCTTTTATAACATCAGCCAAAGACCATGCATACAATTTTGCCTGTAAGGCTAAATGTGGCTCATTTACATGCTGGAATGGAGTCCTCGTGTTGATTATTGTAGTTCAGTCCTAAATAAATACCATCACTGGTTAATTAGCTGTATGAGATTAAAAAAATCAGAACAGTACTTAATGTGAAGCAGACCTGGTACAGCAGTCTCTGATATTTACAATAGGAATAGGAGTCAGAGTTTTCTTTTTTTTTTATAGCAATATATCTCTTGTCTTCATTTCATAGCGTATGTGTATTGTTGTTGTTTTTCATTTTGACATTTTGACAGTAACATTGACTTTGATGTGTCGGAACTAAAACTGGTAGACAGGTTGAGGAGATTTTCAAGGAGAAATCTAGATGTGAGGAGTCGACTGTTTACCTACTCCTCTTTGTCCTTGTGTGCCACTGCATTGCTGTGCAGGTTTTCTGTGGGTTTGTTTCCTTCTAAATGTCTCTGGCCCCTGGATTCAGCAGGTCAGACCTACTTGACATAAAATACCATCTGTCAGACTCACTGGTCAAGACTCAGTGGCCAGCACACCCTCATATACAGCTAAACCTACACATGCACTGAAAAAGTAAGGACATTCATTCTGATTTTTTTTTCTTAAACCTGAATGTTTCAGATAATCAAAGGGTTTTTAATATAGGACATAACATTAACCAAAGTGTTTGGATGAAATGGTTTTCAATTTAAGATTGCGGTATTAAAAAAAACAGGTGAAAATGTAATTTTAAAATATTTTAACCAATACTAGACTTTTAATATGATGACTGTGATTAACCGAATTTTTGAGTTTAGCATCAGTTACTAGTATCTAAATGAACCAGTTCTTGCAAACACTTCATGGCATCAACTTGTTATTGGATTTCGGGACTAGTTACTTTTTCTTACGCAGGTTCAGGCTGATTTATATATATTTACCCTTCAAATAAAATAAATCATCACTTGACAGCTGCATTGTCTGGCTTTAACATGTTCTTAGTGATCTTAAACATTTAAGCTCAGAAATAAGCAAAATAAAGAAATCGTTATGGGAACAAAACCTTTTTTGCAGGGCATATATGGCTGTTGTGGGCACTTCCTTTATTTTCAGTTGTTCGTTGGATTGATTAAAACGTTTAAAAAAATTGTTCACATAAAGGTCCCTTTATTTTTGGTGTTTCCATATTTGCTTTCTTTCTAGACATTTAGATAAACAATTGGGCACAAACTAACCAGCTGCTAATTGCTTAGGTTATTTTTGAAAATTGGCTTTACAATGAACAGTTGTGTTTTCTTGATTGCATATGACTATTGTTACCTGTGTCTCTCTCGTGAATCATAATGATTGCAGGGACTGTTTGTGTTTTTAAATCTGTGGAAATCTGTACCTTCTGTTTGACAATTGTACACTGGAGCTCCACATTCAGTCTCTTAGGATAGGATTAAACTTTCAGCGGGAAAACGAAAAGAAAGTATTTTTAATGCTACTTTAGTGGAATAAGCATTGCTGTTGGTAAATAAATATGCAGAACCTGACTCACATAAACTTAGCTTTATTCATATTTTCCACTTTGAATTCTTTAATAGAATTTACCAAAAATACTTTTCACTTTATCTGAATCCTTTTCTACAAAACAAGAGAGCGGTGAAACCAGCACAAAGGTCTGTCTGCTATGCTGCCTTTAAAAGTAGTTGGACTTTAACTTTTCAAGTTGCAACACTTTTTAAAGTATTTTAGTAAGATGTGTGAAAGGC